CAGGACGTTTGGCAGGAATAACCAAACACTTTACTCTAGGTTGGCAGGAATAACCAACTTAGAGGTTGGCTGGAATAACCAACACCTCTCCTAAGCCGAGGATAAGGATCCAAGCTGCAGGACGTTTGGCAGGAATAACCAAAACTTTACTCTAAGTTGGCAGGAATAACCAACTTTAAGTACTTTTCAGCCGAGATAAGGATCTAGGCTGAAGAGTGGTTGGCTGAAAAAACCAACACTTAGTACTCTTCAGCCGAGATACGGATTCAGGCTGAAGAATGGTTGGCTAGAAAAACCAACACTCAGTACTGTTTAGTCGAGATAAGGATCCAAGCTAAAGAGTGGTTGGTTGAAAAAATAAACCAACACTCAGTACAGTTCAGCCGAGATAATTATCAAGGCTGAAGAGTAGTTGGCTGGAGTAATGCGTAGTAATCTTCAGCCGAGGTAAAAACCTAGGCTAAAGAGGTTGGCAGGTATGACTAGATAGGTATCTCGGTCAGAAAATGTTATACTGCATTCAGATTACATTTGGGAAGAAAATGTAAACATAGGAAGTTAGTCGAAACAACAGTTGTAACAAAAGAAGATTTCATTCAAAATACAAGAGGTACAAAAAAGATGGGGCCTTAGCCCGGTTACAAGTTCTTTTCAAAGAAGAGAAGAAAAATACATAATCAAGCAAACAGGTCATCAAGATCCGCATCCAGTTTAACTCGGAACCCGATTTCAGTTGGTAGCTCAGTTGTCAGGTCTTCCACCGGTGGCTCTACCCGAGCTGACTGAACGGCAGGATCATTGACGACGGCTGGGGCGTTGTGGGGCTCTTCTTCTTCTTCTTCTTCCCCTTGATGAAGAAATTGTTGTTGGATAGCTGTGGCATACTCCACCATGTAGCTCGGTATGTAATGTGGGGGAGGGTTGTTGAAGACCTCGGTCTCTAGACCTTGACTGAGCTGAGCCACCGCTGCCTTCTACCCACACTTGAAAAATATATCTTTGGTAGCTTCGCATTGTTTGATATAAGTAGCTTCGCACTCCTTATAACCGCGGTCTTTCGCGTCATCTGCCTGCTTCTCCAGCTCAGCGATCTCCGTATACTTTTTTCTTTCGAGCTTGGCTAGCTCGCGCAAATATTTATCTTTCATCACAGCCAAAGGCTTCTGCTTATCAGCATCGGCCGAGATAACTAGGCCGGTTAGACGAGCCACCTCAGTATGTAGTTCAGCCAGTTTTTTCTTGGCCTCTTCTAGCTCTGTCGATTTAGCATCAGCTTCTGCCACGGCCTGCCTTGTGGTTTTGCGAAGTTCCAACACACGCTTATGCGCAATGTGGTTTTTCTGCATGGCCTGCGAAAAGAAGGATAGCAAACATGAATAAAAATCGAACGAAAAGATCGTCTAAAATAAGAGACGATTAGGAGTACATACCAGCACCATTGACTTCGTCGCCGACCAGATGGCCTTTAGCTCGGTCAAATGGGCATGATGTTTCACATCAGGCGGCAGACAAATGCTCTTAGCCAGGTTGAAGGCGAGCGTGTGATCTTTGTCTGCCACTACTGAATCGGTGTCTTAGATAGCTCAGTTCTGGTATGAAAGTTTCAGGGCCCATTCAGAAGGGCTAGCTCAGTCGGAACCCACGGGCTCTGGGCTCGGTTGTGTGGTTTGTGGAAAAATGGTTTCATCCTCGTCAACAAGGCGTGGCTCGGTTCTGGAAGTCCGAGCACGCTTGCTTGGGCGCGATGATGAAGGCTGATGGGATGGTAGGGCTACCACGGTCTCCTGTGTTTGACCAGCTTGTGGTACCTCGGGCTTGTTTGTCTCGGTAATAAGGGCTCTTACGGCTCTGTTCTTGTCCATCTCTTGTTCAGCAGTTAGTGGGATCAGGTTGATTTTAGGCAAGGCTGGATCTGGTTCTGGTGAAGGCTCTAGCAAGAAATTTGTAACCCTAGTCTTCCTGCGACTACTGTATCTGTAGATCGGTTCAAAGTTGAGCAGCTCGACCCAACTTCGATTTGGATGTCTTAGTGCGACTCGAAGGGCCTCAAGGTTGGGGTAGCTGTACAGGGATTTGAGATGGTTCAAGTCTGCATAAGGGAAAAAAGACAACGGTTAGTGCGGTTGAAAATAAGAAAACCGAAGTAAAAGCACAGAAATGAGCCGAAGTATTTATACCGGCTACTCCTTTGTTCCAGTTTATTCGGTCACCTGCGATCTGGGCCTCATGATCTTCAAAATTCCCAGAAACCTAGAAAAAATCGTCGTTATTAACGTCTTTCTCTAGGGTATTTTTTATTATCATTTCACAGCAGCGTCTTATTCTTTAATAATATACCCAGCCATCTTCGTTTGAACCTAAAGAGTATTGATGAAATAGCTCAGCTAAACCGAGATTAAGGCCAAGCCGGCGGTTTAGCTCGGTGATGCCATTTATTATTCGGTATGAGTTTGTGGAAAGCTGGGTAGGGCAAAGATTTGTTTGCCTGAGGAATTCACAAATAAGAGGTTGAACTGGGAATTGGAGTTCGGCTTCTACGATGGAAATAACGTTGAAAGGGACAAAGCCCGATTTTCCCTAAGGAGTGGTGTCTAGTTCGGCTAGTGAAAGATGGACGTTGTCTGGAATTTGGTAATCTTTTCGGAATTCGGCGATAGCTCCTGGGGAATTTACTAAAAATCTATACTTCCCCATGTGGAGTTAGGTATAATTTAGCTAGAGTGTTGGCTCGGTGGTGAGATAACGCTGAGTAGCTCAGTTGAGCGGTCAAGGTAGTGCCTAGCCAACCTAAGTCTGCACAGTAAAAAAGAGGTATTAAGCACAGATCGTTGGACCATGCTAAAAGAAACAGAGGCAAAATAAATGGAATCCTAGCTCGGCTACGTGGGGAACTATCCATTCTTAGCTCGGTTAAAGCGGAGGACTTCAGCTCGGTTATGGGGAAACGAGAGGTTCGTAGCCTGGTTGTAACTTAGGGGGCAACGTTCTTGGTTCGGTTTTGACTAAATCAAAGGGCTGGTTTGGCACCAAGTTTTAGCTCGGTTAGAATCTAATTCTTTCTAGTTCGGTAATGCGCAACCTAATACAGACAGTTCCTTAGCTCGACTAAAATGATTCTTACACCGATTGAAACCTATCTAGTTCGGTTGGCTACACCTGTTAAAAACCAGTTCTTATCTCGGTCATGGTATGATTTTGGATCTAAAAACGTATCATTTTAGTTCATTCGCAAATCCAGTAGGTGTGTTTATTGTTCAAAAGGTTTTTACTCATTGGAGAGAAAACCATTTGAAAGTGTTGTGAAAAAACACATATATACGAATGATACATGTTGCTAGTCTATACAAATGGAAAGGAAAAAAGGATTGAGTTACTTATGGATTGAAGACGGAAGGATGTAAATCTGAGACCACGAAGATGGAAATGGCACCAATAGAAAACACGAGCTTTGCAGATGTAGGTTGAAGAAAAACGGAGGCTCAGAAGGTAGAAAGAGAGAAGAAGATGAACAGTGGTTGTTGGTTTGAAAAGTAGGGTTTTGTTTTGTGTAAGGCATAAGTTTAGGCGGGACTGTTCAAAATACACGAAGTACGAAGACGGCTGGGACAGCTATGCTAGACCAATGAGAGTCAGCCACGTGTCCATGGAATAGAAAGCGATTCAGTTACAGCGACTGAAGAGACATTTTGACCGAACAAATTAGTAACATGGTGTGAATTTAGCTCGGTTTAAAGGCTAAAGTTTTTAGCTCGGTTGGTAATGGGTAATCCCAATCATGCTGCGCATATGGAATTAAGGGGCAATTGAGAGGGTAATTTATAAGTAAATTGGGCCGAGCTGAGTAATAGGCTGTTTCTGTGGGCCATAGTAAGAATGACCGAGTAAAAAGGCCTTATTGTTAGCTCGGTCCAAAAGAGCCTTGTAGTTAGCTCGGTCCCAGAGAGCCTTACAGTTAGCTCGATCACCACGGTCAGAGTGGTAGCAATTAGCTCGGTCATATCCTTCTAAGCCAAGGTATTTTGAGCTTTCCTTGGGACCTTGCTCTTGATTAGTTTGGTCCAAGCTTGCTATGGTTAGCTCGGTTTCAACAGGCAAAACCGAGATACAAGTTATGAAGGAAAGAATCGAGCTAGTCAGAGCTCGGTCAGTATCGCCAGTTTAGCATGGCCATGTTGGCTCGGTCGTTTTGTCATACTATCGAGGTAAAACTATCTCACTTGGTTTAAGCAGTGAGGGGGGTGTCGAAGGATAAGTATTATCTTTCAGGAATGTGATTCCTAGGAGGACTCTACATGGAGGGATAAGAGTCTTACTAGGATTGTGCCACGCGGAACCTATAAAAGCTCACAACATAACCTATGGAAGAGGTAACACAATTTTGATTCTCGAATAAACAGAGCTTTTGTCTATTTTGCTAACTTAGGCATCAAAGAGGTATCCGGCACACACCCGCTGGCTAGCTCACGTTTGTGTTTTTAGGGAGAAAAGCGACATCGTACGGAGCAACACAAGCTTGATCAACAGAATCATACGAGAAGAATTATTTCGTGCTCGGCTTGCTTGAACTACAGTACATTGATGAAAGCAACGAAGGTAAATTAACTTAAAAAAATTAAATTCATAAGCCAATTTCCTTCACTTTGTTGGAAATGTTTACTTGTTTTTGGGCCAACCAAATAATGAAAAATAGGTAAAGTATTTTTGAGAAAAATATTTTATGGAGAAACAAACGGAGCCTTAATTTTAGATTTTGTGTCAATTTAATCCAATTGATAATACAAATTAAGGTTTTTGAAAGAAAATAGTAACTAAGTTAGTTGAGATTAACTCACTAAATTGAAGTTCATAATTTTATATCAGATCAAGCTCATATACATTTTTTTATTAAAAAAAAAAAAAAAACTAATAATTGTCTAAACTATTATCATATATTTTCAATATTCGATCCTATATTTGATTTTTTTAATCCTATATTTGATTTTTTTAATCCTAAAATACAGGATTTCACACTAGCAACAACGTTAGTGAGGCCAGGGTCATCATTTTTAGAAGATTTGACACATGCAAATAACTTCTCAAATGAAGGTTATGGATCGGTGACGAGAGTTTTTATTGTCTGCAACGAAGATTATACAATAACAAAGGAATACCAATGGTGGATGATCGAAAATATCGGAGGAGTGAAAGAAGTGATGGAGATCAAGGGTGCGGATCATATGCCAATGTTTTCAAAGCCTCAAGAACTCTGTTGCTGTCTCTTAGAAATTGCTAATAAGCACACTTAAACATATGATAGCAAGCAAATAAAACATTCTCGAAAATTCCTGTTATGTGAAAGTTTTGAAAGTTTTGATTATGTGAAAGTATTGATGTTGCATTGGTTGTGGTTGTTTTCAAATTTTCTATGGCCAAACGAAACGTATCTTTTTTTTGCTTTCTGTTCTTTTATGTTTCTTATTTAACATTTAGGTGATGTTTGGATTATGCATTTAGGTAAAAATTTAGAACAAAATAAAAAAGGTAAAATATGAGTGAAATGTAAATTATATTTCATTCACATTTTATTTACTTTTTTTTTTCTTTTTAAATCATTATTCAAATTTATGATTTAAACACAATCTCATGATGCATTTGGGATAAGATTAAAATAATTAAAATGTCAAAAAAAAATGCTAAAATATTAAAAAATCATACAACAAAGTTAAAAATTTCTTTTCTTACTCTATTTTTTTACATATTTTTTTGTTAAAAAATAAAAATAAAAATTTATTTTCAATCACCATAATCACTAAAAATGTCACTTTTCAACAAAACCTCAATGTGCTAACTCTTTAGTAGTACGGTTTATTGTGATTGACGTAAAATGGTTGTTTGCCACTAACATGCAGTAATTTTCCCCAACCTGCACTGTCAGGTAATTGTCCGTTAATATTGAGTGGGTTCAAAGTTAAGTGGACAAATATCAAGTTACAAAAAGAAGTATATTTTTGGACAAATAATATTAAAATTAAAATTTTGGACAAATTGCATATACCCCTCTCGTGCTTTGGTCAAATTACAAATACCTTATTGAGATTTGAGAAATTATAAATTTTTCCTTAAATGCTATATTTGCATAACAAATTAGGAGTTAATTTGTTATGAAATTTAAACCTCAAGGAACAAATTGCTATGAAAATACAAACCTTAGGGGGCGGGATGTAATTTTCAAAATTTCAAAAAATATCTATAATTTAACCAAATCTCAAGAGAGATATATATAATTTGTCTTAAAATTTTCTAAATGGATGGGCCGAGCTAAGACGAGTTAGACTAAAAACTCTTTATTCCAAGCCTAAGGCCAAGCCCAGTCAAAAAATCAAATGAGTTGAAACATTTGTTCAACCCAACTCTGTAAACTAAATGTTTTTTTCCAAATTCTAAAAATATTGGGCTAAACTGAACAGGTTGGGCATTTTATTGCGGATGGCATGCCTAATTCAAAGGCTGATTATTATCTTGCAATAAATCGATTAATTATTCGATGCTCCTAGAGCAATGCTTCTTATCCATTAATAAATTAACACTTAATACTTTATCTCCTAAAATTTAAAAGTGGTGATATTCCATTATTTAAATTAATAACTATTCATTTAAAACACTACTTAAACATACTGCTGAGTAAGGGTGTTTTGAAAAGTCGGTAAAAAGTTGACTTTTGACTTTTTACCAAGTTTTTTCATTTTTTTGGAGGTGATTTGAGAAGTTGGTAAAAAACTATCTTTTTTGATTTTTGATTTAATATTTTTTAAAAGTGTCACATCACTCTAAAATGACCAAAATACCGTTACTTTTTAATGAAATTTACGATTTTACCCTTTTGCATGTCAACACTTTTTTGAATTAATTAATTACAATATTCCAACAAATTTTAATTTATTTTTATTATTATTACAATTTCAAAAATTTACCAAATATTTTTTATTATTACAAATTTATTATTCTCATTTTTAGGAATTTATTTTTTGCATTATTACAAGTTTATTAGTAAATGTATTTTTTTTTAATACAAACAATTACCAAATTATCCAAACAATTATTGCAAATGACCAAAATACCCCTACCAAATTTTTAAAAATTATTATTACAGTTTTGTTAATTATTTTTATTGTTATAATTGAATGGCATATTTACTTTCTTAATTTTTCTCAACAAATTGCGCTCTTACATTAATTAATTTCCACATTACAAACTGGTAAACGCCCTAAAGAACCTGCAACTTAGAAACAGAACCGTCCATTTTTTTTAACACTTTAAACAGTTTCACACATTCATTTCGTTTGCCATCACCTTGTACAGACCGAACAGGATTACAACCCAAGTTCACGCCGATATCGCACTAATTCATTTCGTATTGATTTTCTCACTTCGTTCATATGCACGTCATCGTTGCCCTCTAGTTCACCATCATCATCGTCACCAAGACTGCCAACATTTGGCATGTCGTTGAATGTAAAATTCTCTGCATTCGCAACTTTGTTGAATGCTTCATCGTCGCTCGAGTTGCAGCGTATACAATTATGTATTGCCATTGAAGCCCCAACCAATGGCACTTGCACTTTCTCGAAATCATATCGCGGCATGTTATGTAGGAATCCCCATCGCGCTTTCCATACGCCGAACGCACGTTCAATTGCACTCCGTAAGGACGAGTGCACCATGTTGAAAATTTCGTTTGCATTTTGTAACTGTCCAGTTACGCGAAACTATTCTTGATGGTAGCGACATCCCTTAAACAGCGTCAAAAACCCTTTTTGGTTCTTGTACCCTGCATCAACAAGGTAATATTTTCCTGGTTGTATTTCGATAATTTTGCATTAGTATGGTGGTCGATTACAAATATGAAATGCACACAACTAATACAAACAAAAAAACCAGCTGTAATTCATCTAACCTTCCTCTGGCATGGGGAATTGTTTGGCCAGGCCCTGTTTTATTTCGTTAAAAACTTTGCTGTCATGCATACTACCCTCCCATCCACAAGATATAAAAGTAAAACACAAATCAAAATCACACGCTGCGAGTATGTTTTGCGTGTGCCGTCCTTTACAGCCAAAATATGGCGGTGCCTCCTGAGGCGGGAGATGTGCCTCCACATATGTGCCGTCAAGAGCGCCAATACAGTCCTACAGAATCACACAGTATCATGTAAAGGAGAAATGCTACTACTCAAAAAAGTTTGCCATACTTTCCGAAAGTGGCTACTATTCATAATTAAATATGCGAAAAATAAATATTCTCACTTTGAATAGGAAATATTTCCGTCGTGGCTCTAATGTGTTGTGACCTTGTCGGTCGACATTGTGCTCTCGTGAACAACTTTATCGCTTTAAGAACCCGCATTACATGATACCAGATTGTTTCCCCCGAGTGTTGAAAACGGTCTTCTATGTCCCAACTCGTGAAGCCCCATAACACGAATATGAACATGCCGACACTCTCAACTAAGTCTACACCATGGAGACACTGTGGTACTGGGAGGCCACAATCCTCAACTAATGTCTTGCACAACATCAAGAACATCTCTTGTGACATCCGAAAATTTCGCTAAAATGCTTCATTCCTTTCTTGAAGCATCTCCTGCATCCACATGCTACCAGTCAATGCGGATGTGTGAAACGAAGTCCTGTCAACATATGCGTATTTGTTGGCAACGCGAGCAATTTCCAGCCAAATCATTGATGTCGTCAATTTCATTTCTCCGATCGTCTCTCGTATCCAGGCATTTATTTGGCTATTGCGTACGACTCTCGAGCTAGTACCCTCTTGTGCATCCATAGACGTTGCAAATTATATGAAATAAGAACTACCAGCTATAGTGCTTAATTGCCGAAATGAGTTGCACAACTCCATGATATATAACACTCCTGCAGAAGTATATTCAACTACTACGTTGTATTATTGTGGCCATGTGATTGCCCAAAGCCTAGTACACCATCATACTACCATGTGAATGCTAGTACATTTCTAGGATTGTATAATTTGTAGTTTGCATGCTTGCATATAAGCATCTAACTTTCATGTGCTTCTGATTGACGTATGCCACATCAACTTTTTGAATATTTGGTGTGAATTGTTTTGGAGTAAAATAATGTACATAAAGAAATGTAAATAAATAAGATAATGAAACACAAAAATATTTTTGCATTAAATAAATAAAAAGCACCCAATAAATAAATAATTTATTTATTTATTGAAATGTAAGTACTTTGCTGCCTATATTAAATAATTTGAATAAATAAGTATACACAATAAATAAAATAAATAAAGAATAAATAAGTCAATTAAAGAAATATAACTACTTTACATCTTATATATATATATATATATATATATTTTTCGTCACAAATATTAATTTCAACATAGTTCAAAAAACTCATCATTTTCAATATTTTTTTAACCTTCCTGGGGACTACATTATCTACTTTTTAATTTTGTAGCAATTTATTAGTGTTTGCTTTTGTAACCCCAATTTTCGTTTTGTCAATTATAAAATAGATTTAACAAATTCAATCCAAATACACTATACGAATGTTGTACTTTGTTTTTCCTAGCAAACTAATGTTTGCCTCACAACTCACCAACTGCCTGTCACAAGGAGCAACTAAAATAAATAATAATACAACAAACCAAAAAGAGCCTGCAAAGACTTGAATGTACATTCCCTGGCCAAAAGTTGTGCATAACATAACAAGCATGTGACACAACAGTGCTACCTTGCAGCGTGTATACTCGCATATCGGTTGCAAAGTCCTGCAAAATCATACATACACGTCTACACCAAAATAAAAGAAATGCGAACTGTCTCGCATGTGCACCATCCCCCCCCAAAAAAAAAACAAACACACATAATATACTACAGTCTCATGCTAACCAAATAGTAAAATGATAATCCAACCACAAAGGCCTAATCCAAGTCAATAGCACCACCACTCCCGAACAGCCGTGTCCCTCATTCACGATCCCTACCAACATTGGCCTACGTGCAGGTACGCTTCTCTGTCAACCAGTTCACAATGTAATTCTGGGGGAGGGCCATGATGATGTCCCGATTATCGGGTGAATCCATTATGCCGTATGCAAACGAGAACAACTTACCGCCGAGCTCTAATCCAAGCGTGCTCATAAGCCGTGCAAGACAGTCCCCACTGTGTTCTCACCTTTACCCATGACAACGTATTACATGATTTTCAGCTCCCTGCTTTGTTTGCTCACTATTTCCACGAGATTGTCCATGCTACTAACGACAATACCAGGCGCTGCCCGCTTGCGCCGTTTTGCATTGGCTGATCCATCCATGACTGATTGGGGGAGAGCATCGTCAACGGGGCTACTATCAACCACGTTCTCCCCGACAGT